GTCGGCAGCGGGAGTTTGGGCAGAAGCGCGGTGGTCAGGAAAAGCAGATCCGCGTTCAGAGTCAGAGTGTGCCCTAGTGAGGCCAGAGTGGCGCCCTGTCCCTGGGGGAGGCCGTCCAGGGCGGCCACTGCCTGCCTCAGGGGAGCCGGTGGGCCCCCGCATGGCATGGGGGTGTCAGGGCTCGTCCCCGCGGGGTCTCGGGGCACAACCCCCACCTTGGCCCCCGAACGCACCTGCCGATGGCAGCGGCCGCGGAGGGAGGCTGTCTGTCCCACAGAGCGGCCATCCTGTCTCCCCGGTAGCTGGGACTGCCCTCGGTGGAGGCGGTCAGCCCCTCAGCAGATGCTCACGTGGCTCACAAACACCTTCAGGTCCCGTGCCCTCTCGGGGAAGTCGAGCCGCGCTCCTCCTCCCCAGACCCTCCTTCCCAGAACTCCTGCGGCCCGTTTTCTAACTGCATTCATTCCGGGTCCCTGACCGTCCAGCCAAACAGTTAGCGGCTGGCCGTGAATCGGAGCAGACCTGTGACGTGGCCCCTCCAGCTGTGCAAACTGGGACAACCAGGGGGGCAGATGCCTCGCCAGCCCGATGGCTGCGAAGTTCGACTTTGTTACAATTAAACCCGGTGAAGACAAGGAGACACGGGGACTGGAGGAAATATTGGCAAACACACACCTGACGAAGGGCTCGCCTGCGAGACGTGCAAAGGACCCTTAGAGCTCAAGAGGAAGAAAAGAGCCTGATTTAACACGGACCGGCAGAGAAGACGCACAGACGGCCGCCGGGCCCACGGAACGATGCTCCACGTCACGTGGCATGAGGGAAACACGCATCAAAACAGTCGTGAGCTCCCTCCACACACCCGCTGGAGCGGCCCAAAGCCAGAACGGCGACATCACCCAATGCTGGTCAGGACACAAGGCGACGGGAACTCTCGTTTGTTCCTGTGGGAATGGGAAGCGGGGCGGCCGCTTTGGGAGACAGTCTGGTGGCTTCTGAGAAAACTCCACACGCCATTACCACGCGACACAGAAGCCCTGCTCCCCGGTATTTACCGCGGGAGCCGATGACCTACGACCACGCAACGCGGGCTCACGGGACATTCACGGCAGCTGTACTGATAATCCCAGCAGCTACGTTCACAACTGACAACGCCCGGACGCCAAGATGTCCTTCAGCTGGTGGACAGATAAATAAACTGTGAGATGTCCAGGCGAGGGAATACTATTCGGCACCGAAAAGAAACGAGCTAGGAAGCCGTGGAAAGCCGTGGAAAGCCGTGGAGGAAACGTAAAGGCATCTCACTGAGTGCAGGAAGTCGGTCCGAACAGGCTGCTCACCGCACGATTCTAACTCTGTGACATCTGGGCAAGAGCAAAAACGACACACAGCGCAGATCACCTGCCCTCGGGGGCTCAAGGGCAGCAAGGAATAAACAGAAGGAGCGTGGGGGTTTAGGGCAGGGAAACTGCCCCGTGTGACACAGTCGTGGTGGATCCGCGTCCTCGTGCATCGGTTCAAACCCACGGAACGCGCACCCCAGAGGGACCCCCAGTGTCAGCTGTGGGCTTCCGACGATAGTAACGCCTCAATATTGGCTCATCGATTGCAACCGTGTCCCCAACGAATGCAAGATATTAGTAACGAGGGACGCGCTGTGTGGGGAGGGAGGCCGTGTCTCCGAACTCTCTGTCCGATATCTGTAAACCCAAAGCTGCTTAAAAACTAAAATCTATTTTTGGGGGACGCCTGGCTGGCTCAGTCAGTGGAGTTGTGACTCTCCATCTTGGGGTTGTGAGTTCAAGCCCCACGTTGGGTGGAGAGATTACTTAAAAATAAAATCTTACACATAATTATTATTTTTTTAAAAGCCTTTACCAGATCCATGGCTGTCACGGGGTGTTTGATCGGCTCCAGCCATCAGCCGTGCCCGGAAGGGCTGGTGTGGTCCGTCACCGCCCTCCAGGACCCTCCTGCCTCCCGCATGGGCCCCGGCCGGCAAGGGGGATGGGGGCATGCCGGGAATCACCGCCCACGGCCTTCAAGTCCTGGGTGGAGGCTCAGCGTCTACACGGCCCCCGGGAACTCGGCGTTGCTGTGCGTGGACTCTCGTCCTGGGGCCACGTGGTTCCGGAGGCTCCCCTGGGCCTGTCCCGCCACGACGGCCCTCCCTGCACAGTCGGGGAGCCCACGTGGGGAGCTGCCAGCTGCCGAGCATGTCAACTCCCATTACGCTTCCGGGAGCTGGAGAGGAGGCCGCGCACCGGGGGGGGGGAACCCGCTGGCCCCAGTGCGAGGTGGCCCTGGGCTAGAAGTCTGTGGGCCCCCGTGAGCCCCGACTGCTGGTTACAGGGACGTCTGGGGCCTCTGGGAATCGGGGTCAGACCAGAGCCAGGGCCCCGTGCCCCCCAGAGCCT